TTGAACACCTTTTTACATGCTTATTGGTCACTGTGTATCTTCTTTAGTCTATTCAGATCCTTAAGCCTGGGTGATTGATCTTTTTACTGTTTGAGTTTCTTTTTTTCTTTTTTTTTTTGGAGATGGAGTCTAGCTCTGTCACCCAGGCTGGAGTGCAATGGTGCGATCTCGGCTCACTGCAACCTCCGCAACCTGGGTTCAAACAATTCTCCTGCCTCAGCCTCCCGAGTAGCTGGGATTACAGGCATGCACCACCACACTGGGCTAATTTTTGTATTTTTAGTAGAGATGGGATTTCACTATGTTGGCCAGACTGGTCTCGAACTCCCGACCTCAGGTGATCTGCCCGCCTCAACCTCCCAAAGTGCCGGGATTACAGGTGTGAGCCACCACGCCCAGCCAAACCACCGCACTGGGCCTGAGCTGTTACATTTAGGTCTATAATCCATTTTGAGTTAGTTTTTGTGTATGTTGAAAAGAAGGGGGTCCAATGTCATCCTTTTGCAGGTGGATATCCAGTGATTCCAGCACTGTTTATATGCTGACACCCCGATTTCTTTAAAAAAACATTTTGACTTTTGGTATTACACACATTTTTTTTTAAGTCACCTGAAATCAATTGTGAAGTGATACTTGTGTAAATAAACTGACTTTAAAAAATTACTCAACCAAGGTCACACAGTAAGTGACAAATCTAAGACTAAAACCCAGGTCTTAGGATGCCAAATTTCAAGTTTTCCCATTAAAACAAAATACTACCTTACATGTAAATAAGTTTCATATTTACTCATAGATAAGAAAAGGCAAGCCAGAAACAATATGTTTATTGGTAAGATTACAGAAAACTTGACTTGAGATGTTTAAGATTTCGCTTGCTTATTTTCATAAAAATTAATAATAGCAGCCAGGTGCGATGGCTCATGCCTGTAATCCTAGCACTTTGGGAGGCTGACGTGGGCAGATAACCCGAGGTCAGAAGTTCGAGACCAGCCTGACCAACGTGGAGAAACTCCGTCTCTACTAAAAATACAAAATTAGCCGGGTGTGGTGGCGCATGCCTGTAATCCAAGTTACTCAGGAGGCTCAGGCAAGAGAATCACTTGAACCCGGGAAGTGGAGGTCGTAGTGAGCCGAGATCACACCATTGCACTCCAGCCTGGGAGACAAGAGAGAAACTTCATCTTTAAAAAAAAAAAAAAAAAAAAAAGGCCGGGTGCAGGGGCTCACGCCTGTAATCCCAGTACTTTGGGAGGCCAAGGCGGGTGGATCACGAGGTCAGGAGATCGAGACCATCCTGGTGAACAAGGTGAAACTCCATCTCTACTAAAACAAAGTACAAAAAAATTAGCCAGGCGTGGTGGCAGGCACCTGTAGTCCCAGCTTCTTGGGAGGCTGAGGCAGGAGAACGGCGTGAACCCGGGAGGCAGCGGAGCTTGCAGTGAGCCGAGATCCGGCCACTGCACTCAAGCCTGGGCGACAGAACGAGACTCCGTCTCAAAAAAAAAAACAAAAAAAATCAATAATAGGTAAAAATCTACTAAGCATTCACTTTGTATTAAGCCCCGTTCTAAACAGCGTATAATCACTTAATACTCACAATAATCTTAGAAAATAAAGTCAAGTGTCCACTTTTTTTCCTCCTCTTTTTACAGTCGGGGAAACTAAGGCAAAGTAAAATTAAGTAAGTTGTTCAAGATCACAGAGCTAGTAAGTGGTGGGAACGCAGGCAATCTGACTCCAAAGACTGTGTTCTTACCACTATGAAAGCAAATTACTTAAGAGAAAGGCATTCACCAGGCTGTGGCCAGATGGATTAACAAGTGTCTAGAAAGAAAGAGACTATTCTATTATTATTATTGTTGTTCCAGATGAAGAGACAGAGAGAGAAAATTCATTAGCGTGGCTGAGAATTCTAAAGGAGGGAAATTATTAGTACTAGCGGCATCAGGTAAAAAATGTTCAGTGTCCATGATTGGGGGTGGAGGGTATTGGGAATATTTAATGGGTACAAAAACACAGTTAGACAGAATGAACAAAATCTAGTATTTGATAGCACAATAGAGTTACCAGTCAACATGTACAATAATTTATTGTACATTTTAAAATAAGAGTATAACGGGAATGTCTGTAACACAATCACATAAAGGCTTGGTAAATGCTTGAGATGATGAAAAAAATTTGTATTCTGTTTCACTAAAAAAAGTCTTATCTATTGTTTCACTAAAAACAATGTCCATGATTAAAGAAATAGTCCTTTTTTTAACAACAACAAAAAAAAGGATAAAAATTTAACAGGGCTACTGCAATACAGCACAACTAATAACATAAAATAATAATATAAATACAGGAAGAGAAAGGAAAGGCAGGCACAAACGCAGAGGAAGGAACCCTGGGAGTCTCCACTGACCACAAAATGAATGAGTCAACCAGGCGGTGTTATCACAGGATGTGTTGGAAAGAGACATAACACTGCTGGGTTAAAGATTAATCCTTCCTTTATACAATATATTAGTGAGATCCCTGATAGACTGTGGAAACCAATTTTGGTCAGTGCTCCAAGAAATATGGAAAGAAATGGGAAAAGATTCAGGCAAAACAAACAATTAGACCAAAACAATAGAAAAGAGTGTCTGCTAGGAAAAGAAAAAACTTGGAGTTGCTTTTCAAAGAGAGTCAGGATTGATTTAATTATGGCCCTCAAGAAGACAATTTGAGGCTGGGCACGGTGGCTCACATCTATAATCCCAGCACTTTAGGAGGCCAAGGTGGGTGGATCACCTGAGGTCGGAAGTTCGAGACCAGCCTGGCCAACATAGTGAAACCCCGTCTCTACTAAAAATACAAAAATTAGCTGAGTATGGTGATGGGTGCCTGTAATTCCAGCTCCTCGGGGGGCCGAGGCAGGAGAATTGTTTGAACCCGGGAGGCAGAGGTTGCAGTGAGTCGAGATAGCACCATTGCATTCCAGCCTGGGCAACAAATGCGAAACTCCATCTCAAAAGAAAAGAATGTGGGCTACATAGAAGCTTAGAACCTGAGTACTGCTTATCTCTAGTAAATGCCAGTGGTACCTGGAACACAGTATGAATTCTATAAATATTTGTAGAATCTATGTCCATGAAGCTGCAACATGGAAAATGAGCTTTCAAATTAAAGCAAGACAGACACCAGCAAGACATAAAAGGAATTACATGATAGTCAAAGTAAAATCTATACATGGTTGAGTGCTGTGGGTCTTAAAGAGTCACTCATCTGTCTTAGGGGTTTTACAAATTCACTAGCCTAACTAATTTATAGTGGTTACTCCCAACACCATGATTTAATACTTCAGAGCATAGAAATGAAATCTTGCTAGTTATAAATAAATGATCACTGAGCTATTATGTGCTCATAATGGCTATCATGAGCTATTATAATACTGAATATCATCAGTATTCAAATGCTTTCCATGTATCAAATTATTTAATCCTCACAATTCTATGAGTACTATTCTTTTTTTATCTATAAATGGTACCCTTTAGTCCCAAAAGGTTAAATAATTGGCCCAAAGTTGCCCAGATCATAGCTGATGGATCTGGGACTTAAATTCAGACTGCTGCACATGGGCCATTCATTTAAGGTAGAAAATAAATTTAAACAGAGCAAAAATATTAAACAGGAAGGATAACAGATTGATAAAATTATGGCACAGGAATTAGGTGAAATTATGGCACACGAATTTTCTCCATGGCTTGCTATGCTGCGTGGATCTTCTTAAATTCCACCTTGCTGTAACATTCCTGGGGATACTGGTGATGTACTAACTTTTTTCCCTTTAATAACATCTTTTTAAAAATGTGGTTTCAAATGAAAGAGATAAATATATTCATGCCAAACTAGAGAGACATTATAATGAACCCCCGCATCATGCATCCTTTTTTTTTTTTTTTTTGAGACGGAGTCTCGCTCTGTTGCCCAGGCTGGAGTGCAGTGGCACAATCTCGGCTCACTGCAAGCTCCGCCTCCTGGGTTCATGCAATTCTCCTGCCTCAGCCTTCCGAGTGGCTGGAAATACAGTTGCCCACCACCAGGCATGGCTAATTTTTTGTATTTTTAGTAGAGACGGGGTTTCACCATGTTAGCCAGGATGGTCTTGATCTTCTGACCTCATGATCCGCCCCCCTCGGCCTCCCAAAGTGCTGGGATTGTATGTGTGAGCCATCGTGCCCGGCCCTCATGCATCTTAAACAACTCTGAACACATGGACAATCTTCATGTATGCGGTGCTCCCCACAAACTCATACACACACTGCATTATTTCAAAGCAAATGATGATGTACTATTAACAGTCATCTTTATTCTTTCCCAAAATAATTTGAGCCTAAGATGCATATAATTCCTTTATTTCAAAAAAATCTACAAAAACTTGGTAGCAGTATGGGAACAATTCCAAGATGGGGTTCTGTTATCAAAAAGAAAGCCACTGGACATTAGGAAAAAGAATTTCTTTGCTGGGCACCATGGCTCACGCCTGTAATCTCAGCACTTTGGGAGGCTGAGGCGGGTGGATCACTTGAGGTCAGGAGTTTGAGGCCAGCCTGGCCAACATAGTGAAACTCCGTCTCTACTAAAAACAGAAAAATTAGCCAGGCATGGTGGCAGATGTCTGTAATGCCAGCTACTCAGGATGCTGAGGCAGGAGGATGGCTTGAACCCAGGAGGCGAAGGTTGCAGTGAGCTGAGATGGTGCCACTGTACTCCAGCCTGGGCAACAGAGCAAGACTCTGTCTCGAAATAATAATAATAATTTCTCAAAAATCACTAAGTAATCTCTAAGTGATACATACTTGGTAACATGAGAATATTTTAGGTGCCACATTATAGCAGGAATTAAATTTAAATTTGTAAAGTGTTTTATAAGTTTTAAGAAAACTCATGAGGGTTTCTATGCCTATCATGCAGACAAATATCATTCCCAAGCGTAGAGGGAGGTCAAGAAGCAATTAAGTATCAAAATATACCTGTTTATCGTCCAGAGGGTCAGGCTCTCCTTTACTTGACTCAGAGCTGACATCATCTTCATCAGAACTGTTGATGACTTCCTCCTCATCAGAGGGAAGGTCACCAAGACCAAGATGATTCTGTTCCTCCTGGGATGCTCCTGAACTGCATTCAACAGAAAGCAGGTATTAGCCACCTTCAATAACAAGGAGTGCTAGCAAAACAAAAACCAAATCAACATCTCATCTTCATAATGCAAACAAGGTATATCTAAGGGATTTGGAAGAATGAAAAAACCCAGATCAACCAACTTTCCCTTCCTTCCCCCTGTCTCAGCTGCCAAAAACTCAAATTAATTTTTTGAATTTTTAATGATAAGAAGGTGGGTGGGAAGCAAGTTTCCCAGCTGCTCCCATCCTATGCTTCTATATATCCCTCCCAAAGAAGATCAGGTCTCTACTCCTAGAATAAACTAAGAAGCCTTACAGAAAGCAGGCTGGTTTACCACAAAAGGCTACCAGGTATACCAGAAGAATTGCTGTTTCCTTGGGGCTTAGTGTTTAAAACAACAACAAAAACCAAGTAACAAATCTATGAGGATTGGAGGGTAATGATGGTGACTACAACAGTGCAGGTGCAATTGTGAACACATACCCTGCTCTATGGTCATCACCGTTCTGCTTACAAGACATGGGGAGGAAGAGGAAATGTTACAAATTCTCAGATTATGCTTAAGACCCACTGCATTAGAACTACGAGGGGCACAGGGCCCAGCAATTTGCCCAGCAATTACAACTACCTGGGGCACATGGCCTAGCAAATAACAAGTAAGCTGGTTTAATGTTTTCCGGGTGATTCTGATACAAGTTGAACTTGGAAAAATCCACAGAACCAGGCCATTTACCAATTCCTCCTCATCAGCCTGATATCATCAAGGTTCCTCCGTTTGTTTTAACATAGATCTCATGAATCTAAAAGCCATTGTTGCAATCCAATCTGTTGGGGGAATTCCACAGGAAAGTTTCCTAAGAAGAGATGAAAAGAATTCCTTCTAGTATTGGCTGTAAAGATTCAGGAGCCAATTGCCTGTAGCAACTGCTTTTCTGTCTTCAGTCTACAAGAATATCTGCAGAATAGAAGAGTACACAGGTGGAGCCAGTAAAAGATCCACAATCAGCAGGAAAAACACTCAAGTAGAATAAGGAGACAGTTGCACTCCACTCTGGCAGGCTCTTTCAGCGGTCACAGGCAGGTCACTCAACCGTCAAGGTTACAAGTTATGAGACTCTCTAACGGGAATCTTAAAAGCTAAAGATAAATTTTCTGCCAATTCCTGATTATACATGGTAGGATACAGACTTGCCTCAGAAGGCATTCCTGGAGCCCAACGGTTACACAAACCAGTTGGCTGGAGGCAGAGTGCCAAAAGGAACACCTCTCACTGCTAACGACGGGGTTTTCCATTACTCAATGGCCGGGGGTGGGTGCACACCTTATCATAGCTCCCCAAGACATGCAGGAGACTAACTCCCCAGCGGCAAGGGGTGGATAGAGGATGGCAACTTTCTGGTTAGATCACTGGTAGGATTCACTGTCTCTGGGTGCAGGGATAAGAGCCAACCCCGCCGGGTAGTTGATTGTTGACTGAGATTAGTGAGAGCAAATGAGAGTTAACAGGATGGGCAGACTATAGGATCCACCCATATAGCTAGAAGAAAATGTACCCCCACTTGTTTTTAATTTTAATTCCTTATCTCTTTACATCTTCTAAAACCCTGTTAACACAACACATGTTCAATTTCCAAGTGGCAGCAGCATCACCCGGAAGCTCCTCAGAAATACACACGCTCAGGCCGCCCACAACCCACCGAATCAGGATCCATGCTGTAACAAAATCCCAGTCTATGTGTGAGAAGCTCTGCTCTAAAAGGCTTTTAGAATCAGCCCACCTGGATACTGTTTTAGATTCCTAAGTGTAATAGATTCAGATAGTAATAGGGCTGTGGCACCTGTGAAGAAATTAGGTTTATTTTGTCTGAAGAGAGGGGTGAAAGGTGTTTCTTGGTCAAACATCACTTGGAAGGCTATTATTAAGAACATAGTAACTAGGTGTTGCCACATCCATTAGGGATAGAAGAGGGATTAAAGTACAAAGTGAACATCTGAAAACAAGAAAAAAAGTTTTAAATATTAAAACTACATGAATCAAAACACGATGCCATGAAACAAGTAGAGATTTTGGTGTCTCTTCTGAATCTTTTAACTGTCTCACTAAACTGCACTTGGTGGTAGACTTGTTTCCTCATTAAAATGTAAATTTCCAAAGACAAGGAAATTGAAATTGTGTTTTCCAGCTGAATCCTCAGCATACAGCCCGACACACAATGGACCCTCAGGAATTTTTCACCAAATAAATGAAAATGGTATCAGAAAGCAACAGGTGTTGAATTTCAATGGTGCAGGTAGCCTGAACCAGGGTGGCTACATCAGGAACTGAGAGAAAGGGATGGACATAAGAGGAAGAAAAATCAGGGCCAGGTGTGGTGGCTCATGCCTGTAATCCCAACACTTTGGAAGGCCAAGGTGGGTGGATGGCTTGAGCCCAGGAGTTCGAGACAAGCCTGGCCAACAGAGCAAAACCTGCTCTGAAACACAAAATTTGGCCGGGTGCGGTGGCGTGTGCCTGTAATCCCAGCTACTAGGGAGACTGAGGCAGGAGAAGTACTGGAACTCTGGAGGCGGTGGTTGCAGTACTCAGGAGGCTGAGGCAGGAGAACCGCTTGAACCAGGAAGGTGAAGGTTGCAGTGAGCCAAGACTGAGTCACTGCACTCCAGCCTGAGTAACAGAGTGAGACTCTGTCTCAAAAAAAAAAAAAGAAAAATCATCAGGACTTAGGGTAAACGGGTGAGAAGGAAACACTTATGAAAGATGTCAAGGTGTCAAGTCCAAGTTACCAGCAGAATGAGGGTGATGTGAACTGAAACAAATATTACAACAAGGGAGCAGATTTTAAAGGAAAGATAATGGGTTTAGCAGCAAAATCTAGGATCCACATTTTACATGCTCATTTCTAAAACAATTACACTATTTTCCCACACAATTGTTGGCAGCCTTTGAATCTACATAGATAATTTTAGATTTCTTTTTTTTTTTTTTTTTAAATAGAGAAGGGTCTTGCTACGTTGCCCAGACTGATCTCAAACTCCCGGGCTCAAGCGATCCTCCCACATCAGTCTCGCCAAAGTGCAGGGACTACCAGCGTGAGCCACCATATGCAGCCAATTTTAGATTTCTGATAATGAAACAAGGACTCCTTACTGATGTCAGTTGTATAGTTTGGAGTTCTTCTTCAATTTATTTCCTTCCCACTGTCGAAATGATAACATCCTAACACTGTCTGCTTTGTGGGGTAAAGGAACAGGACACAGGGCTTCCTCCACATCTTCCTGCCTAGTTAGTTCATAATTTGATATCTGAAGTAAAAGGAAAGTAAGCTGCAAAAGCAACCAGAACAAAGAGTGGGCTCTACTTCCCCAGGCACCCTAAGTCAGATTTGCTTCTGAAAGGAGCCACAGTTTCTAGAAAATCAGTTTGTTTCCAGTGTACTGGAATTAAGACAAACAAGTAAAGTCAGACATGAATTCCTACTGATGGGTAACTGTTCCTTCAATTCCACATGCTAAATCTATATATTTGAAGTGAAGACTACATGATGTCATCACTTTTTACAAGTTATTTTTTTCTATATGCTAGTTTCTCTATATTTACAGCACATCCTCCACTGGAAGCATATCAAATTTTTCTTTCAGGTAAGAAGTCACATCTAAAGTGAAGTCCTCCTCTTTTCGAAGGAATTATCTTTTTAAATTTTAATTTATTTTATTTTATTTTTTTTGAGACGGAGTCTCACTCTATCATCCAGGCTGGAGTGATCTCAGCTCACTGTAACCTCCACCTTCCTAGTTCAAGCGATTCTCATGCCTCAGCCTCCTGAGCAGCTGGGACTACAGGTGTATGCCACCATGCCCAGCTAATTTTTGTATTTTTAGTAGAGAGGGTTTCACTATGTTGGCCAGGCTGGTCTTGAACTTCCGACCTCAGGTGATACACATGCCTCAGCCTCCCGAAGTGCTGGGATTATAGGCATAAGCCACACCCAGTGGAATTATCTTTTTTAAAAACACTAAATCCATTTCCTCTAAGAGTTTTTAGGAACAGAAACCCTGTACAATGATGACCCAGCATAGCAATTGCCAGGGTTCATGACAAAAACATCCTTACGAGCCCCAACTAAATTAAAAATTCCAGCAAGGAGAAGGGATAAGGGATAGGATGGCCGAGAGAAGGAAAGGAGAAGCAGAGTTAACTTAAGAATGGCTTCTCTGTTGTTGACAAATTCCAGTTATCTTTTTCTTCTCTTGCCTGTGATTTTATTCTGAGCCCCTTAACCAAGGAATGTTTCATGTAATTCCTCCCAAGCTTGAAGAAACAAGTTCTTTCCAATTCCCTCACCTTCAGAAGTTTCCTTCTCATTTCCAAGTCACCACATGTAAATCTCAACTTCTGTGATCTTTCTCTTCCTCTTCTTTCTACCCCTAGCCTAAACTGAGCAGAAACCTGCTTGTCCTTAGGATGTTGTGATAATTTTTTTTCAAATGTTGTCTCGTTATGACTTGGTGACCATGTTCCTTTGGCACATTTCATATTTATCACAGAATGAGGGAGGGAAAAAAACTACCATTATGGGCTTTAAATTAGCAAAATAAATTTTAAGTTATTTAATAGTTATTATAGTACACTAACTATAAAATTGGTATACAGTTTTCACCACAAAATTATTTCTATTTTGTTTTACCAGGAAACATTTCCCTCTGTTACTTCAGTTCCCTTACAAGACTGCAGATTCCAGTGTCACAGTAAAACCATGAATCAAATCAATTTTAAAAATCTATTTAATTATCTATTTATTTAATTCTTTACTTATTGGTAAAGACAGGATCTCCCTATAGTGCCTAGGCTGCTCTTGAACTCTTGGCCTCAAGTGAACCTCCTGCCTTGGCCTCCCAAAGTGCTGGGATGACAACATGAGCCACTGTGTCCCAAAAACCTACTTAAAAAATCCTTCTTCTTCCTCTTTTCAGGTGTTCTCAATTACACAGCACTT